ACAAACAGACAGGGGATATTCCGAAAAAGCCCAACTCTAGTTTGCAAAAAAAAGCCCGGAAGGATTCGAACCGCAAGTCTTTGCCATCTAAAACAGTTATTTTACCTCTACGCCAGATTATCCTTTTCCAATTTTTGCAGACAAATCAATTCACAAAAGTGATGTTGAACACAACAACATTTTCACTATTCAATTCACAAAAGCGATGTTGAACACAACAACATTTTCACTATCTTTTTGAATATTTACAAGAGCGTGTTTACTTTAATTTTACTGTATGCGTCAGAAAGCTGGACTCCGTCAAAAATGACAAAAAACTAACTGTCGTTCCATGAAAAAGTTTTGAAGTTTATTTTACCAGCGCGAGCAAATAAAAAAAGTTGATTATCTAAACCGTGCTCTTGTTGTCATTTTTCATTGCTTTGAAGAATTACTCATGCTATCGAATAACATTCACAGACGATACGACGTCCCATTTGAACAAGACTGTCTAACAAAAAAATAAAATAGCCACGCGAAAATCAAAATAAAACAGTAAGGGACAGAACAAAATTTGGCATCGAGCTTGTTCCAGAGCAAATGGAATTGCGGAGGAAATCAACTTCTTTGACTTGAAAAAACATCGCTGAGATTGGCTTAAAAAAACATATTCTAACAAAAATTTGGGCCGCATTCAATAAAAAAACAACGCATTGAAGATGTGCTCGCTCAAGATTTAGTGTTTGTCAGAAAAAACTTTGACACGAGGCAAAGCTAAGCTTCGCACCATTTGCGATTCATATATGAATGACTCTGATTGAAATCAAAAAGAGAAAACATGAGAAAACTTCAAAAACTCGTTTTGTCAATAAAAATTGAAAGAAAGCTCAAAATATCCTGAAGCCTGCACCATGAGAAACTTTACAAAAAGCTCTGGAAATGCTTTAAAGAAGAAAAGTATTCAAAACGGTCATTTTTTCGGAACTAAGCAGACAAAAAAACAGACAGACAAAATTAGCCGCAAAATTTATTTGCAAAAAAAACAGATCTCAACAAAAATCGAAATCCCGGGCTTTGTTGTCTCAGGCATGGCGGTTACAATAACTGGAAAAAAGCTGAACCATCGAGCTACGGGAACCCAGCCGACAAAAACAAACAGACAGGGGATAGTCCGAAAAACCCCAACTCCAGTTTGCAAAAAAAAGCCGGAAGGATTCGAACCGCAAGTCTTTGCCATCTAAAACAGTTATTTTACCTCTACGCCAGATTATCCTTTTCCAATTTTTGCTGACAAAATCAATTCACAAAAGCGATGTTATGCACAGCATCATTTTCGCCATCTTTATGAATATTTACAAAAGCGTGTTTACTTTAACTTTACTGTATGCGTCAGAAAGCTCGACTCCGTCAAAGATGACAAGAAACTAACTGTCGTTCCATGAAAAAGTTTTGAAGTTTATTTTTCCAGCGCGAGCAAATAAAAAAACACTGATTATCTAAAACGTGCTCTTGCCATTTTTCATTGGTTTGAAGAATTACTCATGCTATCGAATAACATTCACAGACGATACGACGTCCCATTTGAACAATTCTGTTTAACAAAAAAAATAACATAGCCACGCGAAAAATCAAGTTAGGACAATAGTGGTCAGAACGAAATTTAGAATCGAGATTGTTCCAGGGCAAATGCAATCTCGGAGGAGGTCATCTTCTTTAATCAAATTGTTTTAAGGCGGAACATTTTAGCTAAACTAAGGGCCGTGTTCAATAGATATTAACATCAATTGATTATGCGCTGATGCACACTTTTGTATTTGTGTGACACCTGCCGAATGCACGTTCGTTCGACTATTAAAACACTTATATTGAGTGAGGGGAGAAACTACATTGCCTTTGCAAAAACTCTTAATCATATTAAACCTTGCCACAAAAAAAACTTGCACAAGCAAGCAAATAAAAAAGGTACGCAAACCACTGCGTTGAAAAAAAATGAGATTTAACAATTGAAAAATAAATCATAATAAAATAATTGCAGAAAAACAGGTGCGAAGAACAACCACCTAAGCTTTCATTTACCGAGCGGCAAAAATTAATTGGGTACTAGAGTGGAGAAAAATGGCTAAAACTAAAACTGGCGATCCTAGAATTGAAGAAAAAGCAAACAAAGTTAGTTACACGATTAAAAAGTCTTTATCGATTGCAGCACCTTGTTTTTCGCTAAATTATTAACGCATTCAAAATGATTTGAAGATTTTACCAATGCGAGAGTAATTTTACCAGTGCAATATGATTTTACCAGTGTGAGATCATAAATAAACTCTGATTATCCTAAATGCGCTCACGTTACCATGTTTCATTGTTTTCAAGGAATTGCTGATGCTATCAATATCATTCAGACATACGACGTCCCATTTGAAAAATTATACTGCCTCAGAGAAAGTTCACTTGGCCACCTCAAAATCAAATTGCTTAAAAAAATAAGAGAGACCTCACGATTACGAGTTTTTAGTATAGAGCTTGTTTCAGAGCAAACGGAATTGCGGAGGAAGTCAACTTCTTTGACTTGAAAAAACATCGCTGAGATTGGCTTGAAAAAAAAACTTATTCTGGCAAAAAATTGGGCCGCGTTCATTAAAAAAACAACACATTGAATATGTGCTCGCTCAAGATTTTGTGTTTGTCAGAAAAAACTTTGAGACGAGGCAAAGCTGAGCTTCGCGCCACTTACGATTCAAATTTGAATGACTCTGATTGAAATCAAAAAGGAAAAAAATGAAAAAACTTCAAAAATTGTTAAAATCAGTAAAAAATGCAACGAAAGCCCAATAAATCCTGAAAAAAATTGCCTGAATCATTAAAAATTCTACAGAGAGCTTTGGACAGGCTATAAAGACGGCAAGTTTTCAAAAATGTCATTTCTTCGGAACTAAGCGGACAGAAAAAGCAGACAGACAATAATCTAAATTAGGCAAAAAATTCTATTTGCAAAAAAAAACAGGTCTCAAATGGAGTCGAACTCCCGGACTTTGTCGTCTCAGACATGGAGGTTACAGCAACTTGGAAAAAAAGCTGAACCATCGAGCTGCGGTAGCCGAGCCGACAAAAATAAACAGACGGACGATAGTTCGAAAAAGCACAACTCTAGTTTGCAAAAAAAAGAGCCCGGACGGATTCGAACCGCAAATCTTTTCCATCTAAAACAGTTCATCATACCTCTATGCGAGATGCGTCGCATGGTTGATAGGATTTGATATTAAAATTACCAAGAGGTAACAAAGCCAAAAATACCTGAGCAGAAACCCTACCAGCCGAAGAAACTCAAAAAATTCTAAACGTATACAAATTTGAAGTCCCTTTTCATCTCAGAGAACACGCACGCGTACAAAACATTTTTTCGATCGTAACGACGCGATAAGAGGCCACTGAGTCGTTATCACTATGACGAAAACTATTAAGCAGATGGAAAAAAATGTTAAAAAAAAAATTTAACAAATCGAGCTGGTAACAAATCGCGATTCCGACAAATTTTTGAAATGCTAAAACCAACTGCAGTGAGAATGGTTTACTGCTTAAATAAACGATTCTTAGATGCGGCAACTAAGCCGACAAAACAAGCAGACAAATGATAGGCCGATTGATTTTTGATCCGTAGTATTTACCGTTTTAAAAAAAAAACTAGTCCTGGTCAGAACAGAGGAACTTTGCCGTCGGCTAAGTGTGCTAGATACACAATAAAATTTCAATTCATTATGAAGCAAGGTAAATCAGGAGTCCAATCAGTCCTGTGGACAAAGTTGCTTCCGGGAAAAAAGTCTATTACCCGATTCTAATACCCTTGCTTATAGCAAGGGTAAAATAGAGTGAATGGCTTAGCAGCCTTGGACGTTTAGGCAGCCCAGGATGGTTTGGCAGCCTTGATTACGGTTGCAGTTTCGATAGGTCGATAAGTTCGATAAGGAGGAAGCTGAATTTTTTTTTCGAAAATTAATTACTTTTTTTCCAGTTTAAGCATTTCTTCTTTGTTTGATTCCTGGTTTCTGAGCTGCGAATTAAAAGCAAAATACATGCGTCCAACGTGCAATGCACAGCTCAGAAAACACATTTATTTTGCTTTCAAAAGTATTTCTTTGCCATAATTAATAGGGTGATTACCTACGACAGACTTCGTTCCATTTCTTTCCCAAACATACTAGATGCCGCGCGATGACTGAAAGTCTGGGGGGAACTCTTTCTAACCATTTTCTTTATTCATTGGGGTTAATTTTCGAATTTCAGTGTTAAACACTCTAAATTTTGTGTTAAAAGGATCGTTAATTGTTTGACACGAGCCGATGACAGCGAAGAGAATTGGCAGACACAAAATTTTTGCTGCAGTATAGGACAGGTATGGATTTTTTCCCGGCGCCTTAGAGCAGCAGACGACGGATTATCAGTGTTTTCGCAAAGTAAAAAGTAGTGTCTCCCTTCAATGAAAGGTCCTTTCCCGAGAGGCTGAGTAGCCACGTTATTTATTAGCCCAGGTTAATAGGTTGCGATGCCGGCTATGTCGAACAAATGCTCGGTATTTTCAAGACTACTGGAGCTTAATTGTCCTAAACATTTTCGAATCACACTATGGGAGCTCAATTGTCGGGCCTAATTGACAAGCATGCGCTGATGGGAAATTGAATATCAGTATCGAAGCAAGATCATTGACAGCAAAACGCATCCGAACGTAATGAGGTTAACGTAAATCACGCTTACTACATTTAGCTGATTTTTTATTATTTAAGAACTGACCTATTTTAAAAGCGGTCTTAGCATTTAAAAGCGCTTTCCTAGTTGATTTTCTTTGAAAATGTGTTGACACTGGCTTTTGGTCCATACAAATTTTTCAGTGCGCTTCCAGGTCGTTAGAGCATTTTCAAATCGCCATTGCGAATATAATTTTAAGCAAAAAAAACTCAATTACTACAGAGCATTCTCCGAAAATACCTAACAATTTACGCAAAAGAAATATTTCAAAATGATAAAAAGCAAACCAGGGTACGCCAGGTATCCGCACTCGTCTGAAGAGCAAAGGGCACAAACTCCGTGATGGTTATCTGGAGTTTCTTTTATCGTATGCACAACTTTCATGTCTTTGATGTTATGTATATAGAGACTGTCCACTAAGCATACAACTAAGCGCTTTCTATTCAACTTTACAGACAGAACACGATTTGGATATGAGTAATTGCAAATTTCAGTTCCTTTCTTGAAATGGCATAAGCTCAATCGTCTAGGCGTATTTTGACTCACTGTCACAACTAGGCTAGATAAATAGAGTCGTTCAACAATAACTACATTTGTCAGATTGCCCTCATAAAAAGCTTCATCCATTTTTTCGATATTATTAAGGGAAAATAACTTGAAGCCAGAATTACATCCCACACAAAGAGCAGAATGATCTTGATTGAACGCCACATATCTGACTGCGTCTTCAATTATTTTTCCTGGCTGCATCTTGGGAATGTATGTTTCTTTAAAGTTATAGCATTGTCTGAAAATATTCACCTAATATACAATTGGTGCAGTACATATTCAGCAACGCTTGCTTATCTCAAGCGTTATCACCCTCGTACATTCAACAAAACAATTAAACAGAGGCAAAGCTGAGCTTCGCACCACTTGTGATGCAAGAAGCTGCCGAAAGTTTAAAAAACTTATGAACACTCCGGTCCCAAAAATAAACAAACTTGACTTTCCCACAGGCTATAGTTTTTTCTACATGAATAGAGTCTTACCTGCTTATCCAGCAAAAAAAAATCAGAGAATCTGTTACCCCAATTGAACCATTAATAACAAAAATGGAAAAGTATTTTTTTGAGATCAATCAAAAATTTTCGAAAAAACTGTCAAAATTTGACTTTTGCACAGGCGATTAGTTTTCGATAAAAGTACAAGGTTCCAAAAAACTATCAAAAAGTCTGACGATTCCCACTACCTGCTGTTATAGTAATATGTTGTACACGTACCGGTAACTAAGCATACATTTGTATTTCAGATGTATTGAAATAAAGCTTCTACTTCAAGCTGTTTTCACACGACAATTTATTTCAATACAACAATGAAGTTCAAACCGCCCGACCTCCCGGCGAACCCCACGCCAGAGCAGTGGAAGTGGTGGAAGCAATGTTTTACAGATGGGCTCGTCATCAATGAAATAACGCTAGACGCCCATAAACTGACATTCCTGCGGAGTATGGCCGGTTCAGAACTATTCGCGCTTCTCGACAACTGTGGGACGTATGCTGAGGCGATTAGTGTACTGGATGGTCAGTTCGAACGACCAACAAGGGTTTTGTCGCAGGAGTATCGTCCGATATTATCAGAGCACGCCTTCTGGAGTTGGATTACAGCAAAGCCAATCTTGATGATTGCATATCCCTCGCCAACGCGATAAACTTTCAACAAATTATTCGCGACAGTTTCACTCTGAGAAGTCAGACGCGCTATCACCCAGCGTTGCTACCACAGGTAACCAGACATTTACCTTAGCAGCAACTGGTAAGTCTAATCACCAAACTCAAGGCAAGGTTCAGGCCCAAGGTAACCTCTCCAGAGGTAAGTGCCAATTCTGTGGTTCTGGTTTCCATAACCGCAGGTCTTGCCCTGCAAGAAATGACGTTTGTCATAAATGCGGAAAATCGGGTCACTGGCAAGTCGTTTGTCGCTCACAAGCTGCAGCTGTCTATGGAGATGAAGAGTCGATTGTTGCCTCTGTTTTGTGCGCCATGCCGTCAAAATCTAGAGCGAGCGATCAGATATCAAAGCTCTGATAGACCCAGGCTCTACTGATTCTTTTATTCGAGCTAATTTGGCCAAGGAAGTTGACCTAAACATCACTCGCAATAGCTCTACCACGTTGCTAGCGGACGGCAAACCTGTCAAACTTATAGGCTACGTTAGAGCTAATTTGGTAATGTGCGGCAAAGAAAACAATGTGCAGTTTTTGGTGCTTCCTACCATGAGCATAGATCCTCCCGTTATTTTCTCCGAGCGCCTTTGGGCGGGGAAGTCTGCAATTGTCACCAAATCGCGTAGATGTGCTCCTGAGAACATGCATCTTATGAGGGAAGAAGAAGCGAGGCTGCTTCACAGTGGCACAGTTGAGGAGTCGTGTTCGCGGTGGCGGGCCCAAGCGTTTGTAGTAAGCGATCACAGAAAGCGAATGGTCGTGGATTACTCTCAAACAATTAATCTGTATACTGAGGTTGATGCCTATTCGTTCCCAGACATAGAAGATCTCATCCTCAAAGCCCCCGACAATAGCGTTTTTTCAAAGTTGGATCTAAAATCGGCATACCACTAAATTCCTTTTCGTATCGAGGATAGACCTATGACAGCGTTCCAGGTCGATGGTAAATTGTACCAATTTACGCGCCTTCCATTCGGAGTAACCAATGCCGTTCCAGCATTTCAACGCAATATGGATTCGTTTGTTGACAAACACGCGCTAGAAAGAACTCGTCCATATTTAGAAGATGTCATTATTGGTGGCCGTGATAAGGAAGAACACGACCGTAACCTTGACGCGTTCCTTTCAGCAGCTAAATCTGTGCAACTCACCGTCAACGAGGACAAAAGTGTTTTCGGTGTCACAAAAATCTCGTTTCTCGGTCACATCATCGAGAAGGGTTGTTAAAAGCCCGTTTGGCCCTTTGCTACTTGAGATTGATGCTTCTGGGTCTGCGATAGGGGCCGTTTTTTCCCAAGCTGAGCGACCAATTGCGTTCTTCTCACGCACCTTGAGTCAACCAGAGCAAAAGCAGTCGACCGTAGAGCGTGAGGCTATGGCTATAGTGGAATCTTTTTGCAAATGGGCTCACAAAAGACAATCGATATGGTTTAGAGGATGCAAACTGTTGAAGATATTTAGAGATAATAACTTGCTCCCGGAAAATGTTTTAAACTTAAAAAAAGGGGAACTAAATAATTTGGCACATATGCTAAGAGATACGTTTATACATGAAAATTACGAACTTGTTAGGTATATTTTTGCTTTATGATTATAAATATGACTGTGTTCAGGTGCGGGGTGGGGCGGCTCGAACTGTATTCTTTCAGAAGACCAGGCGTTGTCTCCGGGCAACATAGTTTAATACTATTCAAGTCTGAGTATGGGTATACAGTTTTGGGTTGTTCTGCTTTGCACCTAAAGGACATAGTCATATTTCAAGAAATTTTGAAAAATGGTCAAAAAGAGGGCGTTACTCTGCCCAAATTTCTGGAGAATTTAAGGGCTTTTTTCGCGAGGTGGATGAGGCGTTAATTAATTTCTAAAAAACTTGTAATTTTTTCTTTTTGCTATTTGGTTTCATAAATATTATATTTATCACTTATTCATAACTCAATGATGTGCTTTTCTTTTGTGTAATCTGTGGGGTACGCTCCTAGTGGGTTTGAAGAAAACCCTTTGCGTATCCTCACTTAACAATCCTGGGTAAACTATTGATTTATTTATTATGTGATAAAAAATATTCTTTTTGTTTAATGTAATAGTGTATCTGATTTTGTTAAGTGAAATTAATTCTTCTTCTTCTTCTTCTTCACTTCATCAAGGCTATTGATACAACTGTCAAAACGGACCAAAAGTCTGTTTCATTCATATTTTCGCGGAACAAGTCGAAAATTGAGAACGAAAAACTAGTGCGAAGGAAATTAGAATTATCCGAGTTTAAATATGATATTCAGTATCGTTGTGGCGAAGACAATGTTTCGGCTCACGCCCTTTCTCGGATTCATGTAGCTGCTACAACATCTTCCCCGCTAGGCGACCTTGTCGACGTGCATAATAGCCTTGCTCATCCTGGCGTCACGCGTCTATTGGAGTACATTCAGCGACATAATCTGCCTTTTTCGCTAGCTGAGGTTCGTGAAGTTGTTGCCACTTGCAGAACTTGTTTAGAATATAAGCCCAGGTTTTCCAAACCTTCCCAAGCTGGCCACATTGTTAAGGCATCAAAACCGTTTGAACGTCTGGGAGTTGATATAGTAGGACCAGAAGTTCCGTCTGCAAAGTCACAAAGCCGATTTGTTCTCACGGTACTCGATGAATACAGCCGATTTCCGTTCGCGTTTACCTTGCGGAACATCACATCTCAGGGGTTATTTGCGTGCTTTTCTCAGCTCTTTGCAATTTTTGGGTCACCCGTGTTCATTCATTCGGACAGGGGGAGTCAGTTTATATCCGCAGAATTCGAAGAGTTTTGCCAATCTCGAAGTATATCGCATTCGCGCACGACGCCTTACAACCCAAAGGGAAACGGCCAAACCGAACGGTTTAATGGCGTTCACTGGAAGGGTGTAACCTGTCTACTGCATTATCGTCGACTAAGTACTGGGATGTGGAACTCAGTCCTACTCGAAGCGCGCAAGAAAGCAGGTCTTCGTAACTTTGTTCGAAACAAAGACGACCCCTTAATTCTGGCAACCCATACTTTGCCAGAGTTCGCAAAGAAGATGGTAGACTGGACACTGTTTCTACAACAGCATTGGCTCCTGGGGACAATAGTGTCCCGTCTCCATCTGAAGATACCACGGCACACCAAGTAGGAACTGACCAAGGTGAGCAGGCAAACCCACCATCAATTCCTATCAGCCAAGAAGACGAGGTTAGTGAATCCATGGAGCCGTCTTCAGTCCCGTGTGACAACCCGGAAGTATTGAACCCAGTGTGCGACAACAGCAGTATTGCTGAACGAAGAGCTATCCGGTCCAGAAAGCAGCCTGATAGACTTATAACCTCATGTTAATTTTATTTACATTCTCTAATGGGGAGGAATGTTATAGTAATATGTTGTACACGTACCGGTAACTAAGCATACATTTGTTTTTCAGATGTATTGAAATAAAGCTTCTACTTCAAGCTGTTTTCACGCGACACCTGCCTCGATTGAAACCTTATTTCAAGATATGCGAGGGTATTTCTGGGATATAGGGAAAAACTAGTAATCCAGTGCACATATTCCAAATGTTTTTCTTATAATTTAGATAATTACATCTTTTTTGGTAATCAGAAGGTCAAAAGTATCATAGTAACCGAGGTTACAGTCAGGAGTACCTCCATCACGTATTCCAGTCAAAATCCTTGAAATTTTCTAGGTATGGAAGTGATAATGATAAACGAAGATGACAAGTGTTTACGTCCTTTTCAATTAAAGTCGATACGGGTTACGTTTCAACGCAACTCGACACGAGAAAATATAATAGACAAGTGTTACAAATAAAAAATTTCGTCGAAAGTTATTTTGTCATTTATTGTTCCGAGTACGCAAGCGGCGTTCGCAATCTGTATTGCCAGGGAGATTCTCTGTTTTAAAAAGCTGCCTGCTCTGGGTTCCTCAGTGCATATGCTTAGATTCTTACAAAGCTTACTCAAAAAACTTTCTGTGCTGTGGCCGGCCGCGCCCTGAATTTCAAAAGCTAGCGGTTGAAAAAGATATCCATCATCTACAAGATCTTCATACTTGTCATTTTTTCGCTCTTCCGCTTCA